ACCAGCACGCTTCTCTTTTCCATTTGGAGCCAGAGGGGCTCCCAAAGACATCAGCTCTCTCCCCCAGCCTCCAGCCAGAAGCCAGCTGACACCCTCCCTGGTTTTCCCCTCTCTTCCCTGATGCAGCAATCTGGGGGGCTGCCATCCCTGGGGCTGACCCTGACCAACGTCACCAGTGACCTCAATAGAAAGAACGTGACGTGCTGGGCAGAAAACGACGTGGGCCGGGCTGAAGTCTCGGTCCAGGTCAACGTTTCCTGTGAGTTCCAATGAACGCCCTGCTCCCAGCCCCCCACCCGCTCTTCCCTGAAAAGAGGATATGAGAGTGGGGGCTGGAGGAAAGGGGTGGGCTGTGTGGCTCCACAGCTGTTCCCTCCCAGCTGTTTCCAGATTCCCATGAAAACCTGATCCTTTGGGGGAAATCCTGGGGGCTTGTCAAGGCCAGCGGGATGGAGAAGGATTTCTTTTTGGCTCCCTGCCCGAGTCATGCTACCTGAGGCCGTCAGCGCCAGCCGCAGGGCTGCTCCACTGTGTTTCATGCTGGTCCCTCCATGAGACTCTCCACAGGACCTTAACCCTCAGACTCAGCTTCAAAGAACCCATTCCCCTCCCCACTTCCTCGCTAGGCTCACTGCCTAATTCCTCCAGGTCTGCCAGCAAATTATTTTAAATCTTCTACGTTATGTAATTTTTCTTCCTTTAGTGTGGACGATAACATACGTAGCTACGTGCACAAAACACACACACTTTAAACAATTATGCTCCCCGACATTGAGCTCACACGCCCCCTTCCTCTCCCCCTTCAGAGCCCTGTTCTTCTCCACCTCATCCTGGCTTTTGTGATGGTTGTTTCCTCGCCTTCAAACATAATTTCATGCCCCGTGCACCCCTATCCACCTGGCGTGGTTTCCCCGGTTGTGCATTCCGTAAGTGGAGTCACACCTCACGTGTTATTTTGTGTCTAAGTGTCTTTCCCTTACATTGCATTTGTAAGACTCACTCATGTTACCGGGAGTAGCTTTAGTTCATTCAGTTCGCTGCTGAATCATATGCCAGCGCGTGAGCTGGCAGGACTCCAGAATAATCGTACACATATGCGTGTGCACACATATTCTTTTTCTGTTGTTCAGGGGCTTTGCCTCTTTCAGGTTGGGTCTATTTCAAAACCATGTCTTCTTTCCAAAAGCTTTTTACCGCTTATTTTTTCGCTTGTTTGATGTTTAGGCCCCCTCCCATCTTCTTAAGCTTGATCGCACTTCATTTTTCCAGATCTCTTTTCCAAGCTGGCGACCCACTTGTCTAGGGCTGTGACTTACCCTAGGTCCACCGCTTTTCTTTAAGCCTCTGAATTTTATACACCTGCTTCCTGATTTACTTAAGATTTACTGCCGATGTTTTTCAAAAACATCTCTGCTCATGACTTTCTTAGGGCCTGCTAACCTGTTTCTCTTAGCCCACCCCCAGATTTCTGTCCCTGCTCCCCCTCCCCGCAACCCCTGGACATGTCAGGCCTGCCGGTCCAGCCAGCCCCTGCCCTCTCAGCGCCCTCTCTCTCTGGCCCACAGTCCCTGCCACCGTGCAGCTGCACAACCCGGTGGAGCTGCACCATTGGTGCATTCCCTTCTCGGTGGACGGCCAACCGGCACCCTCTCTGCGCTGGCTCTTCAATGGCTCCACGCTCAACGAGACCAGCTTCATCTTCACCGAGTTCCTGGAGCCTGCGGCCAATGAGACCATGCGTCACGGGTGCCTGCGCCTCAACCAGCCCACCCACGTTAACAACGGCAACTATACGCTGCTGGCCACCAACCCTTCGGGCCGGGCCGCCGCCTCGGTCATGGCGGCCTTCATGGACAACCCATTTGAGTTCAACCCTGAGGACCCCATCCCGGGTGCGAGGGCTACCCTAAACCTTGCCCCACTCTCTGGGCTTTACCTGGGTACACATCCTGGTGTCCAGGGAGGCCTGGCCCACTTCCTGCCATGATCCTAGCCCCAGAAGTGGGCGTGCCTGGTCCCAGGCAGAAAGGAGCGTGGAGTCTGGGTGTCCTGCCTTGTGCTGGCCTCCTCGCTCTGCCCCCCCACACCCCAGGAGTCCCTGTGCTGTCCCATTCACTTGGCTGGCTGCAGACAGCCTCGTTCCAGGGCACCTACGGCTCAGCTGGAAAAGGACCACGTGTGTCCTCTTGCTGGAGGTCCAGCATCCACGCCCCTTCCCACCCCCAGCCCATGAAAGGATGAGTCTGAGGGGGCAGGGGCCCCACCGCTCTCCTCCCCCATCTAACTGCTTTCTCTCCTCCCTCCTGCTGCAGTCTCCTTTTCCCCAGTGGGTGAGTAGCCCAGGCTGGAGGCACGTTCTAGCTGGTCACTGGAGCGCAGCTGGGGCAGAGGGTACCGTCGACCTGAGCCCCGAGGGGTCAGCTAGGGCCAGGGTGGGGAGCTGCTGAGGAGACAGCACGTGCCAAGGCCCACCTTCCTGCCCTGTGTCCCCAACAGACACTAACAGCACGTCTGGAGACCCGGTGGAGAAGAAGGACGAGACATCTTTTGGGGTGAGCACGGGCAGTGGAGGCTTGTCCAGGACTTGGCAGCAGGCGGCCAGGCTGGAGGCTCTTTTGCATGTCACTTCTGGTCAGAGCATGGGGACCACGATGGTCTGGCCTGAGCTGGGCCAGCCACCAGCATGCACAGTCACAGCCGGGAGCCCAGGGGAGGAGGCGGCCTGGCTCCAGGCTCCTGTGCAGGGTGGAGAAACAGTCTGCTGTGGGAGCTCTGAGAGGCGGGAGCCGGGTCTAACCGCCCCCACCCGCAGGTCTCAGTGGCCGTGGGCCTGGCTGTCTTCGCCTGCCTCTTCCTCTCTGCACTGTTTCTGGTGCTCAGCAAATGCGGACGGAGGAACAAGTTTGGGATCAACCGTGAGTGGAGGGGCTGCCTGCCAGTCTGTCCTACTGGCTTGGTTTCCCACCTGCTCTTACTGACCCTGCCTCGGGGAGGGCGGGCTGTGCACATGCGGAATTCAGCAAGCGTGTGTTTGGGGTGTACGAGCGCCTGTGAGTATGTCAGCCTGGTGCCGGGGTAGTTTCAGAGGCAGCACATGCTAATTGGTGGCTGGATTGTAGTCAAACACTAAGTGGATCTGGGAGGTCTGAGCTCTGGGGGGGCAGTGGGGGAGTTCTTTGGTGGCCCACGGGGCCTGGGNTCCTCCCCTCTGTTGTCCAATGGCACCCCTCTTAACTGTGGAGCCTCAGGCCCACACCTGCCCCTCCCCTGACTCTCTGGGTGTCTACCTCCCCCACCCCACACACCAGAGACTTGTCGGGGAATCCTCTGAACTGTTCCTGTGCCCTACACTGGCTGCGGCGCTGGGCGGAGGAGGGGCTGGGCGGCATCCGCGAACAGAGGCTGCCACCGTGTCCCAGGCCGGGGTTCTTGCCCGCACTGTCCAACACCAGCTGTGGTAGGTGCTGGAGGTGGTATAGGGGCTGTGTGCTTGGGACAGGGCACAGAGCAGGGCTGGGGCCAGCACTGAAGGAGGCCTGGGCGCTCGGCGTTGGCAAGAGCTGGGGAAACTGAAGGTTGGGGCATTGGGGGTCACTGAGGAAAGGGAGGTTGGCAGCACTGGGGTGGGGTTCCGAGACCACCCCGTGCTCTAACCCCCCTGGGGCACGCTGGGCCACCAGGCATGCCCGTGCTGAAGGTCTGGATGCCCAACGGCTCTGTGGACGTGGGCGACAGCGTGCTGCTGCAGTGCCAGGTGGAGGGGCGGGACCTGGAGCAGGCTGGCTGGATCTTCACGGAGCTGGAGGAGTCAGCCGTGGTGACGGTGAGAAGCCCCTCGCCGATGCTGCCCCCGCCCCTCTCCCAGGGGAATTCTGGGCAGGGCCCAGGGGACCAAGAGGGAAAGAGACCATGAATAAGGAGCACACAGAGGGTGAGGGATGGACAGAGATGGGTCAGACCTTCAGGGCTCAGGCTCATGCTGTGGGGCTGCCCCAGGCACACACATGGCCTCGGAAAGGGCACTGGCCCAGCCGGGCCCCCAGGCTCTGCTGGTCCACCAGGACTTGGGTCCGCCTCTGAACTGGGTGCTGGCTGCAAAGACAGAGGCTCACAGAGCCCTCCCATGTGGAGCTGAGGGGACCCTGCAGACCATCCCTCCCGTTCTCCCCCTTTCTAGATATGGAAGCTGAGGGCCGTGGGGAGGGCACTGTCCGTGGTCCTGCACCCAGACGAGTTCTTGGAGGCCTTCCGTCTTTTTCTGGCTGGCGGCTCTGGAAGCAGCCCCCTCGTGGGTGTGCGCTGAGCATTTAGCAAGGGAGGCACAGGTCTGCTTCCAGCGGCTGACTAATCAGCTGTTACAGTGACTTTCAGAAAAACCCTCAGATCTGCCTGCACTTTGGTTTTCTTATCTGCAATCTGAGGTGGTGGACGTGGCGGACTTGTGTTGTCCTGCCTGCCTCTGGCCACTCTTGGCCTCTGTCTCTGTCATTCACATGTGTCTTCGGGCACCTTTCCGGGCTTGTCCATGTCCTCAGGCGGCCAGAGGGCAGTGACAGAGGCCACAGCAGGCTCAGGAGGCCTTGCTGACAAGGTCAGAAGGGGCCAACCATAGGCTGTGTGTCCACCCAAAATGCTATCCCCACGTGGGTAGAAACACGGGGTCCGGCCCCTGGGAGGAGCCCGGCCAGTGGGACCCAGGGTGTGGGGTTCTGTTGGGAGGCCCTCACTTTGGGAGGGGCACCAACCCCAGAATTACTGGAGGCCCCTGGGACAATATCGCAGGAGCCCTGCACAGGGCGGTCCTGACATGGTGGAGGGGCCACTTAGCCGCTGAGTGGTTCCGCCTCCCCAATATCAAAGTCACAGGGAGTGGGCAGTGGGTAGGGGGCCAGGCTGAGGCCGGAGGTGGGCCTGACCGTCAGTGGGGAGACCTTTGACCAGCTATCTCTTTCGGGACATTTCAAGACTTTGCTTTCCTCTTGGGAGAGCCACATGTATTTTCTAGAAACTTCCTATAGAAAAGTTACACGCTCCTGGAACTAAATGTAAAATAATATTGATTGTCAACTAATATAATTGAAAAAAGAAAGTCACGTCCTAATTGGGTTAAATGGAGGGGAGGGGCCGCTGGTCACCCTCAGAAGAGTGAAGGGCAGCAGAGCAGCTGGAGGGACAAGGACACCACACACACCCCAGCGAGACTGGGAGGACACGGGGCAGCCAATGCAAGCTCAGGGCAGGGCTTGTGCCCCGCGGCTGCACCCAGGGCTTATGCGAAAGGCTGGATGTGCTTCCAGCGGCTTTGAACTCACATGTTCCAGTGGAGGCCCAGCGAAACCTCTCCTCTGGCTTTAGTCACGGGAATCCACACTTGGGAAATTTCCAGATAAGTCGCATTTGTCCACTTCTTCATTTATTTCCATCAGTTTGTGAAAACAGCTTTCTAAAGTGTCCAAAGACAGTTTTGTCTACTTCTGCTTACCAAACAAGAAAACGACGGTTCAGCAAGATTAAGGATTGTCTTAGGGCGTATGACTTCCACACATCATGGTTTCTTAGGAAGAGAATGTGAACCGGTTCGCTCTTTCCTTGATGATTCAGAATGCTGTCACTTTGTTTCTCTAACTTCACTGTCTGTCCTGGCGTCCAGAGGAGGCCAAGGTGCTCGTGTATCATCTTGTTTCGGACCTGCCCGGGCTGACACTCAGTGTGTTAGAACGGTGTGGAGGCGGGGAGTGGGGAGGTGAGGCAGCCCAAGCTGGCCTCCAAGTGACCTGTGTATGTTTGGTCCTGGGATCCCGTGATACTGGGATACTTAGCTGCTCAGATGGGTTTGGGGTACCTTGTGCCTATTTTGAGGTTACTGGTTGTGTTCTCCATTTTCAGACCATTAAATAAAGGATCCAGGAGAGAGTCTGTAAAGGAGGCGGGCCACCCTCTCCCACCCTCTCCTTCCCTACCCCACCAGCACGCTTCTCTTTTCCATTTGGAGCCAGAGGGGCTCCCAAAGACATCAGCTCTCTCCCCCAGCCTCCAGCCAGAAGCCAGCTGACACCCT